CCGATTCCCGAAAGTGAAGTGAAGTGCACACTGGTCGACGCCGATCAGCTGTTCGACGGGAGAGTGTTAACCGCAATCATGTTAGCAGTGAAAATGGCGTCGACTACCACGCCCTCTGTGTCAGGAGTCAAACTTCTTTGATTTCGAGTTGAATAGTTTTTTTTGTTTTTGTTTTGTTTTTATCTCGTGTCTGTTTCTGTTTATTTTTGTGTGTTTGTATTTTGGTAATTAAGTAGTTTTTTTCCTTTTGTATTCGTTTTTCTTTTCATATTTTTTATTATTTTTTTCTGTTTTCCTTTTTATTCTTGTTTTTCTTTTCATATATATATTATATATATTATATTTTTTTTACTTTTTTGATTATTTTCTCGTGTTTTCCTTTTTCGTTCCATAACTTTTTTCGTCTTTTCATATATTTCTCTTTATTATTTTTTTTTTTAATACATGTTTTCTACGTTCTTCCCACGTTGGCATTGTCTGGGAGCGACGCTGGCTGGCTGCAGGCGTAGAAATGTGCATAATCGGTCGTAACGAAGTGTGGCTTTTTTGTTTCACACTTTCTCCTTCGCTCTCGTTTCTCGGTCTGCGGGGATGTCGCGGAGGAGCTGCACGTGGCCTGTGTACGCACGCACGCTGGCTTTTATATGTATGTGTAGATACGGGTGTATATATGTATATGTACGTGTGTGTGCGTACATACATAATACGTACATACATGTATACACATATATATGCATACACACATGCATACACACATACATGCATTACACACATATATGCATACACAATACATGCATACACACATATATACACACACACATACACGCCCTAACACACATACACATAGCAACACACACACACACACTAACACACATACTAATACACGCATGCTAACACACACACACTTACAGGTATATGATACACTTACATATTCTCATAAAGCCCACATATTTTGTACAGTTAATCCCCGCATTTTGTTGTATGAACATAATAACAGGAAAACACATATTGCTTGAAGTGTAAACATGACTCAGACATGCAGACGACGTACTTGCAGCTGTGACTTTTGGGATAATCCTATTTCACTTCTTTACAAGTCTGCGGTTGCTAAAAATAGGTCGCTGAAGCCATATTTTCGAGATCCCCCTCCCCTCTCCTCTCCCCTCCCCCCTCTTTCCTCTCTTCTCCCTATCCCCTCCCTTCCCTCTGACTCTTTCTTCCCCCTTCCCTGTCCCCCTCTCCTCCCCCTTCCCCCAGTCCCTCCCTCTCCTTCTCCTCTTCTCCCCTCATCCTGTCACTCCCCTCTCCTCTTTCACACTCTCTCTCCTCCCCTCTTCTACCCCTCTCTCTCCCGTCTCTCCCGTCTCTCCCCTCCCTCCCTCCCCTCTCCCTCTCTCCCCTCTCCCCTCTCCCTCTCCCTCTCCCCTCCCTCTCCCCTCTCCCTCTGCTCTCCCTCTCCCTCCCTCTCCCCTCTCCCTCTGCCTCTCCCCTCTCCCTCTCTCTCCCTCTGTCTCTCCCTCTCCCCCCTCGTTCCATCCCGGCAGTCCAGTCGGTCGCCAGCAGCTCGTGATGTTGCCCGCCCGTGAGAGATCGCCCCGCCCGCCCACCGCCGTTGAGAGGCTCGTTCGCCGCCCACCGTGGTTATTAGTGATCGGTCAGGTGGTGAGAGTGACGCGGCGGGAATCAGGGCGTCGGGGTGCCACGTCGTCGAGTGCCACGGTCGCGTTCCTTGGGTGCCGAGAGAGAGAGAGAGAGGGAGGAACGCGTAAGGAATGGACCCCGGTGTTTGGGGTCCGTTTTTCTTCTCTTCCTTTAGTGGCTTTCTTCTCCTTCTTTTTCATCTTTTTTTCTTCTCTTCTTCCATCTCATCCTCTTCCTCTCTCCTCCTCCACCACCACCACCACAATCTCCCAACTAGGTCTCGCCGGCCCTCCCCTCCCCTCCCTCTTCCTCCCCCCTCCCTCTCCCCCCCCCCCCCACCCCCCCCCTCCTAACGCGTTCTCCAGACTCACGCCATTGCGAGGAAAGCACTTGACTTACTTTCTCCGAGATTGATGCTGGGGTTTTCTTACACTCTCCTTCGGAATGTGCGCGAACGGCAGCAGCGGACAGTTAGCCGGAAGTGGTTGTTTGTGCGTGTGCCGAGTAGTTTTCGGTTGGGGGGGAGGGGGGAAGGGGTGTTTGTTGGGTTTGGGTGGGAGGGGAGGGGGAGGGGGTGGTGAAGGGGGGGGGTTGTTGGGTTTTGGTGGGAGGGAAGGAGGGGTGGTGGTGGGGAAGGGGGGGGGTTCGAGTTTGTATATTGGTCAGTAGATTGTTTTTTGGGGGAAGTGTATTAGATTTTTTTTCCGGGTTGTGAAAATTAATTCGATTTTTTCTGGGTTGTGGAGATGGTTAATGGTTAAAGGCAAAAATAAATGTGCTAGACGTCTAAGGTCTATATAGCACTATAGGAAAGTATATTAAAGGAGAGGTGAAGGGTGATAGTTGCTATGCGTCAGCCATCTAGAGTGATCTTGAAAGGTTAAGATGGATAAAGAAATTGTGTGAATGGTGGGTGGGTTGTGGAAAAGTATTAGATTTTTCTGGGTTGTGGAAATTCATTCGATTTTTGTAGTTGTGATATTTTTTTTTATTATGTTTACGAGATAGATTGGTTTCGCTTTTTATAGACGTGTGGTAATTGAATTTGCCGTTATTGTTGTTATAGAATGTTGCTAATGATGGTCCAGTAATTACTTTTGCTGTTAATGTACTGATGTTATATCTCGACATACTAGTCATTTAACTGTTGCTGATAATCTCACTTATTACTTTTGCTGTTATTGTACTTTTTACTGTTATTGTATTTTGATGTATAGTTATTATTCGACCATTTGCGATAATGAACACAAGAGAATAACAATGAATGAACGATGAATAATACGTCATTTTCTCTCCTCCAGTCACCAAGCGCACAGTTACGTTCAGTTACACGATGTTTTATCACCTTCAGAACGGTTCGTCTAAGTAATGGCATTCTTTTGTGTACGATGCGTTGGTAGTATTTTCGAACCGACGATAATGCTTGTTGTTTACGCTGTGTTCCTGCTGTTGTTGTTGTTAAGCGTGGAGCATAAGGTAACGCTGGCCTGTTGTGTGGGGGGTTTTGTGTGGTGTGTGTGTAAGAGAGAGAGGGAAAGAGTGTGTGTGGGTGTGGGTTGTTGATGTGTGTGTGTGTTGTAAGATAGAGAGAAAGAGTGTGTGTGTGTGTGTGGTGGTGTGGGGTTGTGTGTGTGTGTATGTGAGTGTGTGTGTGAGAGAGAGAGTGAGAGAGTGTGTCGTCTGAGAGTGAGAGAGTGTGTGTTGTGTGTGTGTGTGTGTGTGTGTGTGTGCGTGTGTGTGGTGTCTGTGTGTGTGTGTGTGTGTGTGTGTCGAGGTATGGATTTTCCCGATCTTCTGCGGAGACGAAAGCCCGTTTTTTTGTGCTTTGTGGCTGGGAGGAGAATCGCATGACGGTCATGCAGGTAGAAAGTGCGGAGGGTTTTGATATATGCGTCGGGTAGATAGTATGTTATAGAGGGTGGATGGATGGATATGTAGGTAGGTTGATAAATAGATGATGTAGAATATTAATGGATAGATCTGCAAGAGGTTATGGATGGATAGATGGGATGGGTGGGGTAGAGAATGGATATGTAGGTAGGTTGATAAATAGGTGAATGGGTGGATAGATGGATAGATCTGCAAGTAGGTTGATGGATAGATAGATGGGTGGGTGGATGGTGGATAGATAGATATGTAGGTAGGATGATGGGATAGATGACGGGTGAGGGGTGATGATGGATAGATGTGGTTGGGTGCATTTGAGTGGATAGCTAAGACAGTCAAGCTCTTTCACTCGTCGAGACATTCTGTAGATAGGCCTATGTGATAAGAATATTGATATTTATAGTATAATTCTCATAGACGTTATGTGAAAAGACATCGATATATATATATAATATTATATATATATATATATATATATATATATATATATATATATACTGTAATTCTTATAGATCTTCTGGGAAAATTTATATTGACAGTTGCAATGCTCGTGATCTCTGTACATTGGTATAGAGTACGACGGAGGTATTACACGTACACACTCTTTTTGTACTGTGCCCGAAGGTCGTGGTTGGAACAGGAAGTGCTCGTTGTAGCAGAAGGGGTGACCACTGCCGCTGTGTTTAGCTCATTGATAATTAGAGTGGTTGCAAAAAAAAATGTGTTGTGAGATTGCACTCAAGACATGCGGGAAGTACAGTGGTGTGTGTGTGGGGGGGGAGTGGGAGTGTTGTGTGTGTGTGTGTGTGTGTGTGTGTGTGTGTGTGTGTGTGTGTGTGTGATGTGTGTGTGCGTGCGCGTGCATGTGTAGGTATGTGCGCGCGCGTGTGTGTGTGTGTGTCTGTCTGTGTCTGTGTGTGTTTGTGTATGTGCGCGCGCGTATATGTGCGTAGTGCGTGCATGTATAGGCATGTGCGTGTGTGTATTCGTTTCACTGAACACGTGCATCTTAGATATCCACAAAGCAATTAAAATAAATATACAAGGAACTTGCGAACGCGCTCATTATCCTTGAATCCCGACCGCCGTGGCCTCGCTGTGTCGGGACGAGCGTGAATACGGCGTCGGTTCGGGTGCGGTGACGACAGGGGACTCGGCGTGCAGGACGGGTCTCTGAGCGAAGGGTTTGGGGCGGGAGGTTTCGGAATGGGGGGGGGAAGGGGGAAGGAGGGGAGGGCGAGAGGTTGGTTTCTGTTGTTTACCGATTCGTTTTTTATGGGGTGGGATTATTGTCATGCGCGGGAATAGTCGTGGTCATGATCATAATTAATTCTCTCTCTTTTTCTTTATCTTTCTTTTATCTATCTCTCTTTTATCTCTCTCACTCTCTTTTAAGTTACATGTTTATTTATTTACTGATGTTAGGTATTTCGGCTTTGAGAAAGTCCTAATCGCATCCTCTTCCCCCGCAGGATGCAGAAGGAGTCTGTGATCGAGAGGGAGATCCGCCTGGCCAGGGAGCGGGAGGAGGCGTACCGCAGGGAGAAGGGCCTCGCCAACGCCCCCGTCAGCGCCGCCCCCAGCCGCCCCGCCGCACAGCCCGCCGTCGCCCGCCCATCCCCGGTGGTGACGGATCCTCGCAGGGGCGTCCAGCGCATCGCCACCAACAGGATCCAGCAGGAGATCCAGGAGACGAGCCAGAAGGAGAAGGAGCTCAGGGATGCTGGCAAGATCCTGACCATGTCTGAGGAGACCGTCGATGCCAAGGTGAGGGGCGTGGTCCCGGGTCTTGGGAAAAATGGGTCTCTTCGTATGTGGTTATATTTGTGTTGTGCATTTTCGTGTATTTTTGTAATTCATGTGGCCTTCATAGTGCATTTTATGGTTTAGGTGTAAAGAGAAATTGCACTTCCATATGACTTTTTGATTAAAAAAATAAATGTTTTAGGATGTTTTTTTCGTGTTAGGGTGTAGTTCTTTTTCCTTTCGAGTACGAGAATTTGACGTGATTTCATTTTGGTTTCAAAAAGCTAACACGCGGATTTGGTGAGAAATACATTTTATTCGAAAGGCCAGTCAAAGCTAGAAGGAAAAAGTTTGCAAAGAAGGAACAGGTGATTCCAAAAGTTGACGTCACGGTAAGGAACAGTCAGAGTAGTTTAGTGGAGCAGAAATAATTAATATTACCTTTATTGATGCTTGTTTGTATGCTTGGCCTTTCCAGTTGAAAGAGTCGTCATTTATTTGCAGAGTTTGTTTTTTTATGGCAACGTAAATTATTTGATTGCGATCAAAGATATGTAGATTGTATTTTTTTTATTGTGATGTATTTCTTGTTTTGAGCTTTGCGCTATGTTATTTCGTTATATATTTGTTTTCGTCCTGGGCTCGGGTGGTCCCCCAGATGGCCCTAGCATGAGCCGCTAATAGAGCTCTTGCTTGAACTTACACTAAGGAACTAAATAGCTTGTGTAGCCTCGTACCTTGAGCAGCGCCCTAAGCGTTATGTAAAGTGATATGTTGTAGTGCGTAGAGGACCTTCCTTCTCCTCCTTTCCCGCCCGTAAGGAGCTCGCAGCTAAGCCTCCCGTTCCTCCTGCCAGGTGACCCGTATGTCAGACTTCACGGAGGCGAGCGAGAGCCCCCGCCTCCGCCCCTCCTCCTCCAGCAGACCCGCAGGCTTCAGCACGCCCGTGACGAAGCGCAGCCCCTCCCCCCGCAGCCCCTCCTCCCCCGTGCCCAACTTCACCCCCTCCCCCGCCAGGGGCCTGACCAAGAGCCTCTCCACCACCAACCTGGCCAGCCCCACCGCCGCCGCCACCATGCGGGCGCCGAAGGGCCTCATGCAGAAGTTCATCGCCTCCCGCGGCAAGATGACCGCCTCGGCCTTCTCCTCCCCTCCCCCCGCCCTCACCCACGTGGCATCCACATCCCGGGGCGTCCCCACCAGACCCATGAGAGTGGAACCAAAGGTACAGTCTCCGCTCGGCGCTCGTTTTGTTGGCAGAAGGCGTGGCCGACGGTGCCCTGCGTCCAACGGCATGCTCCTCCCCCGCGGCGGTTGTGATGCCCAGTAGACGCTAGGTGCTTGAACGCCACCTCTGACCTATGTTTTTTAACTAGATCTTACACCATCTAATTACTACTAAGACTTTGATTCTTTATATAACAATGCACTTTAACGAATCAAAGAATGAATAAAGATCCACTCTCACATCACTTCATAAAGAACCAAATCGTCAATACAGATCCACTTCGACATGCTATAAAACACCAACCTATTTACGAACACCGCCTTAACCCCTTCCCGTCCGCTTCCAGACTGCAGTTGTACAGCGGGAGACGCTCGCGAGGATGAGGACAGAGCCAGCAGCCGTCGTGGATGAGCCACTCAGACAGCAGAACAACCAGGTTTACCGCCGGACCCACTGCACGGCGGAGGAGAAGATCCAGTCTGAGCTGAAGGAGATGCAGATGAGAGAGGAGGAGTTGAGGTGAGTGCTCATTCGTAAGCCATAAGGAGTACAGGAAACTATGGTTGCATTAGATAACGGAGTATATTTTTGGTACCGTACTTCTATGACCAGTTATGTGGATTTTGTTCATATATAGAATTAAATGTATGGAAGAAAACAGTTGACGGACAGGATATGGTCCGAAACATTTTGCATTATTTCTGATATCCATTCTTCCTCGCCTTTTTCACATTCCTTCTTCGTCACCTCCCATTCTTATTCTCGCATTTTTTTTCACTCTTCACAATCCCTAAAACTCAATCAAACCCCTTATCTTCAGGCGTCTGAGGGCCCGCCAGCTCGCGCAGTCCCAGCCCAACCTCGCGGGTCTCGGAGCTGACGACCTCGAGGACACCGACCCCCAGGACCACGCCCACATGTACACGCACGAGGTCAATGGTCTTCGTTCGGTCCTTTCCAATCCTAATCTTCTAGAGGACGAGCCAGAGCAGACACAGGTTGGTATTGGGAGGGGTGGGAAGATTGGGAGGAGATTAGGTGGGTGGGGTGGGGAGGTATTAGTGGGTAAGAAATGCAGTGTAAATGCGAAGAGATTAAAGATATAGGATCAAATGATATTAATGTGGAAGATGTGTAGGATATAAATTGAAAAGCAGGGAATGTATGCGAGTTCATGTATAAGATACGAGATAAAAAATACGCGGGATTTAAGTTGAAAACAATAAAAGGAGCAGTGCAAAAATAATACAGATAAGAGAAAGGAAAATAAAAACAATTGTAGATTATTTGAAATATAAACGAAACAATTTATGTACGAAATAACTTGCATGAAATAATTAGGTTCGGGAAATGCCAGTAGATCTTTT